AAACAGGGCCCGAAGATGCCAAAATCATGAACTACCTTTGGTGTTTGAATGAGTACCGCATTCTCGCCTTCTCAGGCTTCCGTCAGCTCAAGACTGCCAAAGAAGCCTCCACGATGGCCCCATGACGGCCCAGGATGCCCCCAAAAGTGTCCCAAGAAGGCCCCACGACAGCCCAGAGGGCATTCCGTAGGCCCCAAGACTGTATTAGAGGGCCTTTCGGCGACCTGAGACGGCCCCTGGACACTCACCATACGGCCAAGGAGGCCTCAGACGGCCAAAGAGAGCTCCAAGACGGCGTGAGAGGGCCTCAAAATGGCCCCCAACACTGCCTCACCGGAGGCCAAGACAGCCTAGAAACAGCCCAAACCATTTCAATGAGACTGCCTCAAACAATGAAGACGAGAGGTGTCACATGTAACGGCCTTCCTCTTCATTCCCCTTTCTGCTCCTGCTCTTCCTCCTACATCGCCACCACCATCGTCCTCATCCTCAACCTCATCCGCATCCTCCTCATCCTCTTCATCCTCATCATCACCATTCCCGCCAACACCAGCATCATAATCAATAGCATGACCATCGCACAATCATACTCAGCATCACCATGATCATCAGAAGCATCACCTTCATCATGATCATCACCACCACCATGGTCATCATCATCATCATCATCATCATCATCAGCATCATCATCAGCAGCATCACCATCATGATCATCACCTTCACCATCATTATCCATAGTATTAGTATGAGTTGGATTATTTGCATCAGTGCCATCATCCTAGACAAAAGCCGCATCCGCATCAGCATCCCCATCCTCCTCCGTACCCTTTTCCTCACCATTCCCACCACCAACACCACCATCGACATCATCAACATCATCAGCATCATCAACATCGTCATCATGACTATCATCAGCATCATCATGATGATACGCATCGTCTGCATCATCAGCAGCAGCAGCAGGAACAGTAGCAGCAGCACCACCATCAGCATCAGCATCAAAATCGCCATCAGCACCATCACCTTAACCATCACAATCACCATCACCATCGACGCCATTATCATCAGCAGCAACACCAACATCATCGTCATCATCCTCATCCTCATCACCATCCTCATCCCCTTCATCTTCATCTTCATCCTCATCCGCATCCTCATCAGCACCATCAAAATCATCCACATCATCATCTGGATCACCATCACCATCACATCCATCGCGTTCCCATCACCATCACCATCACCAACACAATCATCATCATCACCACCATCATCATCAGGGCTCTCCCACGCTCGAGCAGTCGCCCCTCTGAATGCTGGGCTGGCACGATTGCGGGCGTTGCGGCAGCCAGGTGGATTCTGGTAATCCAAGGGGTGGCATCATCCAGCGCTCGCGTGTGGCGAGCAGAGCGCAACACGCGCTGATGTATGCCTCCCGCCCCGAGTCCTCGCCCCCTATTGGAGGTTGTCTGTAGTTTTCCCGGTATGCGGGGACAACAAGCGACCACAACCAAATCGAGGATACACCTTGGGGAATTGGTTGCGCATGCCAAGAATCGTCGGAACGCCGGCACCAGCGTCGTACAGGCTTTGGTCGATGTGGCATTCCAGGATGGCCAAATTGACCACAACCACAACCAACATGCTTATGTCGAGGTCGGCGGGTTCTCACCCAAGGGCCCTTCCCGAAAAATCCAATTCATTTGGTCGCGGTTCAGTGTTAAACCCGTAGGGTAACGGTCGTCACCCAGGGGGGAGGAGGTAGATCGGGGCCCCACGTAACGGTAAGTAACGCTTGGGCGGGGTAGGGCATGTCGTGGCAGGGGTTGCGCTGCGATCGCCACCGTATGCGCACGACCACCAGCATGTGTGGGTGCCCAGACCAACCCCCCTTACATACGATCGCTACCCTTGCCCAGGGAGGGGGGCAGGGTAACGGCTGCTACGCGCCAGGGGACAAAAAACAACATGCTGGACGACTCTGTGTTCTCCCGCCTCCGATCCAACCACACACACCATTTCTCCCTCGCGCTCGTTTCCTGGATCGCTTCCCCTGTCGTTCGTCCCTCCCCGCCCGTGGTGGCGCCTCCCTCCCCGACCTCGGAGGCGCCTTTCTGCCTGTTCGCTGCCCCGTGACTGGGGGAAGGGATCGGGAAGGAACCGTTTCTCCTCGAAGTCCAAGGCGGTGTCTCTCCTGTGCTGGCAACATATGCCTCGTGCGGGGTGCCTCATGGAGCTGCAGGCAGGCCTGGCCAGGTCCGTGGCGACCCAGGAATGGCCGCCAGGAGCACTGGCCAGGCGCAGCCCCCCCGAAGGGAAGCGGATTGCAGCAGGCACGGAAAAAATAAGGGTGCGGGGGGTGGGAGCGCTAGACCCCGACCCTTGGAACAGGGCGCCTGCGCGCGAACCGAATCCAGCAAAACGCACGAGGAGCCCGAAAGGAAGACGAACCGAACCCCGCGAACCCGCAGAAGCCCCTTTCCCGAGTGCACAGCCCCCTAAGAAAGGACGCCTTCTGCCTGTTCGCTGCCCCGTGGCAGGGGGAAAGAATCGGGAAGGAACCGTTTCGCCTCCAAGTCCAAGGCGGTGTCTCCCCTGTGCTGGCAACATATGCCTCGTGTGGGGTGCCCCATGGAACTGCAGGCCGGCCTGTTCAGGTCCGTGGCGACCCAGGAATGGGCGTCGGGAGCACTGGCCAGGCGCAACCCCGAGGAGGCGAGTTTTTACAAGCTCCCACTGAGGCGCCTCCACAAAGGCATAGGTGAAACACGCGTCTGATAATGAATGATGGCTAGGACCGCCACGCCACTCGAAGCTGTAGACACGGCGCGTCACAGATGATCGCACCGTTCTGAATCTGAGAAACGAGCGTAAAATGCTCGCATGATTTCAAAGGCCGACCACCCGCCCTGAGCCTGCGCCAACTCTTCCGGCAAGCAGCACGCTGTCTTGAACCAGTGAGCACCGCCTTTTCGCAGTGAGTGTGTTCCCACTGCGGCGGTCTGAAAGAACTGCGAAATATTTCGGCGGAAGGAGTCGCAATTCATGGGGCGGGGCTCCGCCAAATGAGTCGCGCAAAACGCGGGCGCATCCGGGTCGGAACCCCGGCGCGAGTCCCGCTGCACCAGCCATTCCCGCAGGACGTGGCAAGGGCAAAGGCTGGGGGTGTCGACCATCTTTGGGATGTGGCACACCATGCCTTGTCCGAAAGGGGTCGTTCTTTTGCCGGGCGACAGAAATTGCCACGAAATTGTCGTGTAAAGATATGTCCCGACGCCAGAGCGAGAGAGTCTCGAAACACCTCCGGACGCCGAAGAATGACGCGGCTGCTATAGCGACGTCCTGGACAGCGGCCAGGCTGCCTGCTTTGAGGCGGGCGGCCTGGCAACACCGCAATTCTTCGAGAGATACCGGGCGCTGTGCGGGTGACCGTGAATGGTCGGCCCGCTTCTTCAGACCTCTCCAGAATTGGGCCGACCGGTCCGTCCATGCTCTGTCAAATTGCGCTGTCAAATTGCGCGGCTGGTGCCAACAGAGCACTGCAGCGCGCAGATTCGTGACGGATCACCAGGACCGGCCGTCCATCTGGGCAAACAACAGCATGAATGTCACGTCTGAGTCGCACGGCAAAAGTTGCAGCCCTGAGGAATTTTCGAAAGAATCTACGGCAGTACGCAGGGAGCTGCTATGCAGCTTCTTTGCGCTCTCCTCCAAGGCTGCTTGGAGGCAGCAGCGAATTGCTGATATGGCCCTGCTGCGCTGTGCCCCCTGTTCCACAGAGGTGCTCTCGCGAATTAAAAACAAGAGGTCGGGGCCCTCACTCAGAAGCTGGCGCGCACCTGGTGCGTCCACCGGCGGGGCTCGAAGCTGTTCGTGTAGCAGCGCGGGGGCCCCAACAGGCCCGGCGCCAGTGTGCGTCGCCGGGGCGGGTCTCCCCCACAGGCACCGCGGATGCCTGCGAAGGTGGAGCGCGGGGCCCGTCGAAGACGCTCTGTCGGCCGCCAGCCCGGGGCGATCGAAATCGTCGCGGTGCAAACAGGCGGGGCCGCGGCGCTGGCGGCGCGAGGGCTCTGGCGATCCTGGGCCGCGCTTCTTCTCGAGCCCCAAAGGCTCTGGGCCGCGGCGGCAATTCCCTGTCGACCAACAGGTTGGGGGGGGCGGCGACGAAGGTGTTTTCCCCCGCCAGGGGGCAAAAAGTTGTAAAGCCAACTCGCAATATGCTCTGAAATGGAATGGGAACGTGTGTCGGGAGGTGGGGAGCATGGCGTTTGCAAAGGTGTACGTTTAGGTTGCGCCTTGAGTATGCGAAATCTTACCACACCGTTGCGATTCTATGTGCGCTCCTGATGCTCACAGGCGAAACGAACGCGTGACAGTGAGTTGCAAAGACAAACGCGCACGCACATGCACGATTGTCAAGATATGAGCCCGTCTCAAGCCCACCCGCGCATACCAGACTCAAGAGGCGCTGAGCGGCGCACAAGACCGCACAGTCGAAGCAAACGCTAGACACATAGTTTCGGCACCCCATCTGGCAATCCTGACCCGAAGACAGCGGGTCTATGGGAGGGCGAGTCGGAGAAGCTCGTCCTCTTTCCTATCTTAGCCCTGGTCCCGCAGAGCAAGAGTCAGCAAGAATGGAGACGAGGAGGGGGGAGGCGAGGGCGGAGGAGAGGTAGAAAGAAGAGGAGGACGAGGCGGAGGAGGAAGGGAAGGAGGAAGAGAAGGGAAAAGAGGAGGAGGATGAGGAACAGGATAGCGATGCATCTCTGCCAATTCCCCACTGGCGGCGATCCCCCGCCGATCTCAAGTCAAAACGCACCGTCGAGGGGGCCTCGCCACTGAGAATCACAAGCGTCATTGGCGTCTTGGCCCCAGGAACGCTTTTCACGACGAATCCAAAACACCCTGCACTGCGTAAAACTCCCGACGGGCCCCTCTCGACGGTCCCCTCTCGGCCTCTCGACGGGGCCCCTCTCGACGGTCCCCCGCAGGCTCGCCGCCTAGGCAGCCTGCGCGCTCTGCTTGGCAAGCTTCTTCTTGAGCTTGCCGTCCCCAGCGACGACGCTCGCGCCCGAGGTCGACTCAGGAGCGGCCGCCGCCACCGTCGTCGTGTCCTCGGCGCAAGCCTCGCCGCACTTGCTGCGGAGCTCGACGGGCAGCTTGTCGAGGCCGACCTTCAGGAAATTCTGCGTGCACTTGAGTGCAGAGCCGACTGGATTCTTAGCGCCCTTGCCCTCGTTCTTCCCTGCGTGAGGGTCCGCCATGTGTTTCACCACGGCAGATGTCACGACGTTCACGGCAGCGATCTCGGCCGTCTCTTTCAAGATCGCCTGGTGCTCCACCAGGCGGTCGACGAACGCCCGAACCCTCTCGTAGACGCCGCCCTTCGCGAAACTCATGATCGTGCTGACGGTCTCCGCTGTGTTCTTCCAGGTCGGGTACTGAACGACGAGCCCGTCGATCTGCCGCATGGTGGCGGCCTTTGTAGCGTCATCCACGCTGATCCACGGCGTGCCTGAAAAGTCCCAGGTGGTGATGGCATGCTTGATCTTGCCGAAGTCCTTGACGAACGAGTCCGTGATGTCCAGCACCTTTGCCTTGGCCTCCATGGAATCGTACAGACGCGTCCACTCACCCATGATCAACTTCCACTTATCGTCGAAAGACGCGTACCGTTGGAACAACTCGGGGCACTTTGATTTTGCATGGTTCAGATCGCGGAGGACGTTGGAAACCTCGACCAATCCGCCCGCGAACTTGCCAGAGGTAATCTTGATGACGGTATCGGCGCACATCTGCAGCGCGATGCCACCCTTCGCCAGGTCCCCAGCTCCAGACGGAAGAACGCTGCCCGAGTTCAGCAACTGCCCGATATCCTTGTGTTTGGCTGGGTCTGCAGCCACGAAGGTGACCATATATGACATCATGATATCACCAAGGCTCGTCACGTCGTCCAGCTGCTTGGCGATAGTGATCAAGCCCTTGCCCTCAGAGCGATCCCACGCCATGTTCGCGGGCGACGTGGCCCCTACCTTGAGAGAAATCTCCCTCTGCAGCACCTTTGAGAACGCCGCCAGCGCGTCACCGAACTTGGCCGTCGAGCCCGCCGCAGGCGACGCGATGGAGCACAGGTCGATCAATATGCGAATCTTCTGCTGGACGTACGCAAGAAGCGCGGGCTTGTTCGGCCAGACGGTCACGATCATATCGATAAGTGAGCCAATCCACCTTAGATCCTCACAGTCGAACTGCTCGTCCTGCGAAGACGGGGTCTGGCATTCGACAGCTGCCGACCTGGCAAAAGAGTGGAGTCTAGAATGGGCCTCCATCACTGTATTGGCATTGGCCATTGACAAGTCGAATACGCGGAGCAAGGCCGACGCAATATCCTCAGTCATCTTCCTCTTGGCAGCATCGCCTTTGTCGTCGGCCTCAGCCGAGCCCTCGGAGTTGCAGTAGACAGACCCGAGCGCATCCAGCAGGTCCTTGTGGTCGTTGTAGACGTCGACAACGGCCTGCGAGGAAATCAGAGCACCAACAAACTCTCAATTTTGCCGCCTCGCATCCCCATCCTGCCGCATCCGCCTCATCGGCTCGTCCATTCTATTGCTCCTCATCCTGTGTCATCGTGCGTCTTACTCTGATCGCCATCGTCATGATACGTGGTCGTGGTCAGTGTTCGCGTCGGCCCCAGGTCCCCACGGCGGCACGCAAGACCCTCCAACAGGGCACTAAGGGCGCCTTTAGGGGGCACAGTAAGACCTCGGCGACGAGGAGGGACCCACTGTAAACATCTGCCACGCGTCCCCTGCCCCTGGGAAGGCCAGAGGGCACGCTCACTAGGGCCCGAACAAACGCTCCCTTAGTACATGGCCGGCACCAAAAATGCCCCAAGAAGGCCTCGCAAGGCCTCGGCGACAACGAGAAAACATCCCGAACTATCTAATATCACCACCCTTCCCTGGGAGAGACCCTCGGAGGGAACCCTGGGGCCTACCCCAAGGGGAGCTGATGAGACGGTCGCGATGGAGGGAAAGCGCGCAACACGCTGACCTGATCATCTCGCCCCCCCTTCCCCCGAGGACCCCCGCGCCAGCCCGTGACGGGGCCTCGTAGCAGGCGTCCCAGGAGCCCACCTCGAGCGCGAGCGCGGTCTCCAGCGTGCCCTTCACCTGCTGCATCTTCTCGGCGTCGATGTGCTTACATTTGTCGGTCATCTCCTTGGCCTCAGCATGAATCTGCAGCATGCGATCCCAAGCTTGGCGCCCATGCTGCACCTGAGCGCCGCAAATTTGGCGAAAGTGAGCTCGCAGACGGGGGCTCAGTCTATTCTTGCATTCCACCATGGCGCAGATCTTGGAGACCGTGTCGCGGGGCAGCGTCGATTCGGAAAGGCTGGCTTCGAGGCATTTCCCCATCAGAAGGATGCAGCACATGTCGATCTTCGGCTGAGCGAACCAGGATTCATCATCGAGAGCGTCCCCATCTTCGGCAATCTCCCTGGCGTCCACGACGCAATCGCCCACAAGTTCCGATAGCAACTGGCAGCAGCGGACGATCCAATTCGCATCGCTGTGCTTCCACAGCCTCTCGGCCAAGCTCAGCACAAGACCCTTCTGGCACTCCGACGCTATCGACTGGTCCTTAGCAAGCAATCCGACGCTGAATCTCTGCGAACGTGGCTTCGCATCTGCGACGCTCCCGAAGGCGGTCACGACGTCGCACCTGGCACCAGGGGCAGCGCACATTGAATTCAAGGCCTGGTTCAACTCAGAAGTGATAATGGTGCCGAGGAGGTCGATGGGCGCGCCCTTCAGAGCATCGACGTGATCCTGGGACATGTCCTCCATGGCAAACTTCACGAAGTTGCCCCGCAAACTCTCGAAGAGGCTGCTCCTCTTCTCCAAGAGTTCGCGCGCGTTGAACAACTGCGTGCTGACGTCGGCAGCCTCCGCGTTGGCCAGGACGTTGCCGCACTTGCGGCCGTGGGTGTTGAGCCTCGTCAGGAAGGCGTCGGACTCGCGCTTGCGGAGCCTTCCCTCCCAGTGCTGCCGAAAGGACCACTTCGACGACGCAATGGCGAGGACCTCGTTGGCAGCCGCAACGGTTCCGCTGGCGGCCGTCTTGCGCTTCTCCAAACTCTTGCCTCCTCCGTCAGGCGATCTCGAGCCCCTGCGGCTCCCAGCTGCCGAAGCACCGCTTCGAAAAGCGCGATCGCGCTCCTGGTCGCACTGGAATTTCTTGCTAAGTGGGTGCTCATCGCTGGCGACCCGCTTGTCCGCCGAAAGCTGCCTCTTGTGGGAAGGCATCCTCAGCGCCTCTGGGGTGGAGAATTTATGGCTGTTGGAAGCGTTGCTGCCCGCCGTCCACGCCGCGGAACCTTCGGCGTCGGAGTCTGCCAGTTCCTCCTCTGCCGCGGCCGCCCGACCCCAATCACCTGACGCGATCGGAGAAGCTGACGGCGGCCTGGTGCCGAGGACCTGCGCCTTGGCGTGCTCCATGGACTCCCTCGCAATGCCCTTGTCGGCGTGATCCTCGCGGCGCTCGAGGTCTGCTGAGGTCTTCGCGCCGCGCCTGAACCTCTTGTGGCCAGGCCCATGGTCTGGGATCTCAACTCCTGCTGGGACGTCACATGTTGCTTCGATAATCCGCCCATCCCCGCCCCTGGCGAACCCTGGCAGCCCATCGAACGAAGGCCACGATGGAAACCTGGACCGCCTCAGAGAGCCTGCCCCTGTGCTCGAGCCCCGTGCCTGGGATATCCTGGAAATGGTTTCGAACGGATGAGCGGGCATTGCAACAACGTGACGTCCTAGCGTTCCGCACTCGTCGGGTGCGATGTCAAAGTCGGGCCACTTCTGCTGGATGAACTCGCTCAGCTGGTCCTCCTCGCCGCGCTGGAACCCCTGGATGTTACGGACGCGCGCGAACTCCCACAGCTCCATCCACGTGCCCTCGACGTACGTGTCGCCATACACGCTTTCCTTCTTTACCACGTGGCTGCTGGCAACCATCTTTTGCAGGTGACTGTACTCGGTTCCTCCTGAGGCTCGGTCGCGCCTGAGGGCGTAGTAGTGGTCGTCCAAGTCCTTGTTATTCTCCCTCTCATTGTTGAGGTCCTTCAAGCTCTCAAGGAAATACCTCCTCCTGGTGCCGAAGCACTTGGTGCATTCTTCGCCAGCAGGCAAGCAGGTGCCGTCACTCCTCCAATAAGTTTTGTTCCACTTCAAGTAGTACGGGTCGCTCGGGGGGCTGTCCCTGTCGATCTCGTGAGTGTTCTGTTTGCAGGCCGAGCAAAACTTGGGATCGACGTCGCCCCACTCGTTGACGGGCCCATCGGCCTGCGCCTTCCCCTTGGGGCCAGCCTTGGCCTTGGGCGGCTTCGCGACCTTCGTCGCAGGAGGAGGCCGCCTCGACGAGGATGCGCCAGCGGTTTTGCCCATTGCCGTGCCTCGGAATGATACCACCGCGCAACCAGAATTGGCCGTCTCTGTGAAAAGAGCCCCCCTGTCGCTCGACGGGGGAACTCGCTTCGGAAAGGTTGAGCCAGAATGACCAGACGGTGGCAAGATGCCCGCGAAGCCACTCCTGGAGCCTAGGGCCCCTAGGGCCTGGGGCTCAGGCCGTGCCTGAAGTCTAAACTGTAGCCACGCTCGGAGAGCGAGGCCAGCGGAAGGCCCAGGAGGAGGAGGAAGGAGGGAGGGGGGGGCCTGGGAGGACTCCGGGAGCAGAAGGACGCAGGAGGAAGGAAGAGAGGGGGGGAGGGAGGATGGGAGAAGGGGCGAGGGAATAGGCGCCCCCCCCCCAAGCCAAGACGCCAACACCTAGAGGCCCAAGAACGGCGCCAGGGAACCGCCCAATACCCAAGACGGCCCAGTAGGCTTTCGAGACGGGCTCAGCTCCAAGATGGCCCCGAGATGCTCAAATGTGGCAGGGGGCCCAAGCCAGCGCGAATCATGGCCCTTAGTTGATGGATCCTTGGTGTGAAACTCGCACTTGAAAAAGCGGTTCTGGCTCTTGACGTTGGAGTGCCTTTTATGCCATGCCATTCTTAGGAGCCAAGAGTAGTTGCCGACCTGGGGGGGGGGGGGCAAGACGGACCCAACATTGCTCAACTATGGTCCGAACGTGGCCCAATATTGCTCAAGAATGCCCTGGGATGGCCCCGATTGGGGAGGCGCGGCGGCCTTGGTGCAAAGAGGTTCCCCTGATCTCTTGTTATTGACGTTGGAAGGCGCCTGACGTGACACCAGTTACTTTGAGAAAACGAATGTAAGAACCGATCAGGTGCCGAAGTAACTGCAGCATGGCCCGAACATATCGCAACGTCGCCCCATGTTGACTTAAAATGCGACGAATTTGGCCCGAAGAAGGCACCGCCTGCATGGCCAAAGCCGCCCACCCCTCCCCCCCTCCTCCCCGCTTGCACATGTATGTTTTGGTTTGCGCGCGTGCGTTTTAGGCTGCGGGGGGGGTGGTGCAATGCGGCTCTTCCTCTTGACTTTGGGACGCCCCTGGTTTGACGCCACGCCGAACAATCGAGACTGAGGAGCAGATGTTGGCGCCACAGTTAGCTCCAAAACAGCCCGAACGTATCCAAACGTGCCCCGCGATGGCCTGAAGATGGTGCCAGGATAGCTCAAGCTGGTCCAATATGTTACCAGTATTGCTCCTTGGGGAAAGCTTGGAAATGCAGACCTGCTCTCACGCTTGACTTTCGAGGGCAACTGTCGCTCCACCCTTCTGAAGAGACCAAGGCAGCAACCGAAGTGGGAGCCACGGCAACCCCAAGATGGTCTCTACATTGCATCTATTCGCACGCATGGCGGCACTCGCGTCAACATCAAGAAAAGTCAAGCCCCTTTCATCGACATGCAGCACGCATGACATGCAACCCGTGAAATGCAAGTGCAGACTCTCGGTGTGCAATTTGCGATGTACAATTCGTGAGGCACGTAGCTGGGCACGCCGTCGATCGGGATTGGCGAATGGATGACACCACTGGTCGCGGGGGCATCGTCGCCACCTCCCCTGGCCCCCTCCCCCTCCCCTGCCCCCTGCGACGCCCTGCCTGCGCGCCCGTTGACAAATGCCACTGCAATTCTCAAAACCTACAGGCTGCCCTGAAATCAGCAATGGATAAGCTGTAAGGGACCCTTCGGGACCCAGCAATGGCAATGCAATGCAATTTGCCATGGGCGCCCTCTTGCGTCCCTCTGGGCACTCCTGCGATCAACTTCCAGCTTCAAGAAAGCTCTGCTCTGGCTCTGAGGGGGGAGGACGCGGGGGGAGGGGGCATAGGAGTCAAGCGGAGCCCCAAGAGGAACAATGAGAAGGACCCCTTGCGTGTCCAAGAGGGGCCCGCTGCCCACGTTGGGCCCCAGGAAGCCCCGCCCAGCTGTCAAGAAGGGGGGGAAGGGGTTTTTGGCAGCAAGGGGCGGGGCCCCTCCTCGCTTGGCCCGAGAGGGTTGCCATCGCCCCGCAGGAACGATGGGCGCAATAATCTAACTAATCTAACTGACCTCATGTGCCACCGTGAACCGTTGGAACGGGAAGCGCCGCTTTCGAAATCCCGTGGCCCATCTGAGCATCAGAACCAGGGGGGCTTACGCAACCTGGCGCCGCCCCCTGCTCCACAGATTCATACTGCAAAAGCAGAGAAGACGACGACCGCAAGGATACAGGGAAGCGCGAAATGATGCCTGCGCTGGCGAGCGCCAAGCTGATCATCCTCGACCCCAGCCGAAGACCGAAGTAGGTCTTCGGAGCTGGCCAAAATAAACCTAGTCGGGCTAGGCCCTCGGCTCTCCTCGTCCTCCACGCCCCCCTTACACGTCCTTACCTCCGCCCTCGCTTCATCTGCTCGTTCTCCAGTCCACCCCTCCCCCTGTTGAGCTGGCTGCGGCTGCCCTCTCAATACTCGTCCTTTCACTCGCTCTCAGAACCGCTCAGCTGCTCGGCCACATGCACTTGCTGACAGAAAGCAGCGGCTGCAGTTGCCGCGTTGTCGTCGGATGTCATCATGTTGATGATGGTGTTGCTGATGCCAGTGAAGCAAGTCCTGAAGCTCTTGATCCTGCGGTTGAGGTAACGAACTCTGATGCTATACACGCGGAGCGCTACCATCATCATCCTGACGCGCCTGCGGGCTGCTGGATGGAGCCTCATGACCCACCTGGGGCGGGCGATGCGCCGCTGGGGGCGCTTTGGCGGCATCGACTGCACTTGTATGCGACGGTCCGAGGCGGGGGCGGCTGTCCGCAGCGCCTCCAGAACCTCGGGCCGCAACGGCAATGGAGGCCGAGCAGGGTCGACAACATCAGAAATCGAAAATGTCGATGACCGTCCATGAGCGAAGCGCCCTTGTCATCGGAAAGAGCAATTCGATAGAGGGAAGAACGACTGGGGGGGGGGGCTGGCACAAGGGACCCTTTGGGAACTTCCCCAGAGGAGGCAAATTCTGGGAATATTGATTCCCATTTTTTTGTGTTATTTTTGGGGGGGCGCCTTGGGCGCTTCTGGGGCCTCTTCGGGCTCTCTTGGAACTGTTTTGGTACTTTTGGCGCTCTCCTTGGACCCTTTGGAGGCTCCCCCAGACGAGGGAAGAGATGGTAATATTTTATGGTGCCTCTTCGGGCTCTCTTGGAGCTCTTGTGGGCCCTCCTTGGGCTTCTTGGAGCCCTTTTGGCCCTCCCCTGGGACCCTTTGGGGACTTCCCCAGAGGAGGGTAACTATGAGAATCGTGATTCCTTTTTTGTGCGTTTTGGGGGGGGGCGTCTTGGGCTATTCTGGGGCCTCTTCGGGCTCTCTTGGAGCTGTGTTGGGCCCTCCTTGGTGCCTCTTGGAGTACTTTTGGCGCTATCCCTGGACCCTTTGGGGGCTCCCCCAGAGGAGGGAAAACATGTGAATCATGGTTCCCATCTTTGTGCTGGTTTGTGAGGGGGGGGGGGGGCCGTCTTGGGCGTTTCGGGTGCCTCTTCGGGCCTTCTTGGAGCTCTTTTGGGCCCTCCTTGGGGCCTCTTGGAGCCCTTTTGGCCCTCCCCTGGGACCCTTTGGGGACTTCCCCAGAGGAGGGACAATATGGGAATCCTGATCCCCATCTGTTTTGTTTTTTTGGTGTCGTCTTGGGTCGCTGTCTCACTTTTTCGGAGGCGACGGCAAGGCTGTTGCCGCGTGCCTTCAACCAACAAATATCATCAAAACCACCACGCGCGACGCGTGTCGACGTGACAGCAGCTTAACGCATAGGCGTGCAGCACAGGAAAGCCTCACCTGAGTCCAAAGCGACGCCTCCGAACAAAACTAAGTGCAGCTCGGGAAAACCTAACGCACACTCCAGAGTAGAGAGTCTAGCCGCGGTGCGCTCGCTTGTTTGGAGGTTCACCGCTGTCCTCCTGGGCGCACTCGGCTGATGGCAGCTGCGCTCGCATGCTCGGGGTCGGGGCCACGCCGCCTGGGAAGGCTTCATCTGGAGTTGATGGGGCTGATGGAACTGCCGCAGGCTGGCTCTCATCGACCTCGATCGGTGGAGATGGCGGCTGCGCTGAAGCGGCTAGGGCGGCTGAGGCGCTGGAGCGGATGAGGCGAGCATGTCCTGCAACCACCTCTGCGGCCACCTCGCGGGCTTCTACTTTCCAATAGCTCTCGCTGTCATTGCCGTGCAGCTGCTGTTGTTGTTGTTGCTGATGCTGCTCGCCCAACGGAAGCGCAGGATGCGAAGGTTGGCCCATGATGGGCAAGGGCCCTGGGGTCGCCGATGCCGCCGCCTGCGAAGAAATTGGCTTCTGGCCCGCGATGGTCAGCACAGCTGGAAGCTGAATGCAAACGTGCCGAGTAACACTCTCTGGCAGCTCAGGCACAGTCAAAACTATGTCCAGCGCCCCGCTGAGACTAACCTGGGTTGCTGCCATTGCTGCACTGCGTAAAGGAAAACGCCAGCGAATGCGGTGAAGCCGACTGAAGCGAAACAACTGCTTGCGCTGAAAACGGCACAACGAGACGGCAACACCAATGACATAAACGATGAGTAAAATATCAAGGTGACATCATGCGCCAGAGGCACCAACAACCACACCTTGCAAAACGCAGCTGCGTTGAGAGAGATTTGGGGTTTGGGGTTGGGGGATGGCGTTGCCGTGTCGCGAACAAAAAACAGCTCTCGATACAAAGATGGGGGCCGTGGCTCCGAAGATGGCCACCAGGGCATCGAAGGCCAGCCGCAAGGATTCAAACAGAGGCCCTTACCCATTTCGAGAAATCGCCTTTTTGAGGGGTGGTGTTCAAACATGGTAAGGGTGGTGCTTTGGCGCGAAAAACAGCTCTCGAAACAAAGATGGGGGCCGCAGCTCCGAAGATGGCCTCGAGGGCATGGATGACTGGCTGCAAGGATCAGAAACAAAGACCCCTATCCA